AAAGTAAATACTTAACCAACTGAGCCACCTAGAAGTCCCAGTAAGATTTATTTTAAGCCACTTGTCCATTTTGATGAAGTTAAGGGCTAGAAAACATAATTATATAATTATAATTTCAATTAAAAGGCTCCTAAAAATTGCAACACATGGTGAACTATGAGAGCAGATATTGTGCCTCCTCTAGGCTCTATGTTGGTGACTGACCCATGAGTATCTGCTAGGGGCCTGTTGAGGGTTCCATGTCAGCTCGCGTGTTCGTATCAATAAGCCTAACTTTCTTTTGATAGCTTTTTAAAAAAGATCTATTTATTTATTTGAGAGAGAGAGAGAAGCAGATCCCCCACTGAGCTCAGGGCCCGACGCAGGGCTCGATCCCAGGATCCTGAGATCATGACCTGAGCCAAAACCAGGAGTCGGAGGCTTAACCGACTGAGCCACCGAGTCTCCCCTCTTTTGATAGTTTTAGAATAAGACATAAGTACCAAGGAGAGGCATGTGACCTGAAGTTGGAGAGCTGGGCAGAGGCCCTTGCACAGTGGTGAAGAGTTGCTTTATTTGATTTGATTTAATTTTTTTAAAGGTGAAAGTGTTTCTTTCTTTTTTTTTTTTAAGATTTTATTTATTTATTTGAGAGAAAGAGCACAGAGGGAGAGTAAGAGGGAGAAGCAGGCTCCCCGCTGAGCAGAGAGTCTGACATGAGGCTTAATCCCAGGACCCCTAGATCATGACCTGAGCCGAAGGCAGATGTTTCACCGACTGAGCCACCTAGGTGCCCCGAGTTGCTTTATTTTACATGCAGAGAAACCATGGGCACTTTAAGCAGATGGTGATGGGTTCAGGTTTGTGTTGGAGAGATCACTGGAGCTTCTGCATGGAGATTGGATTGCACGTCACATTGCCCCAACACTTGAGCTGTTTCTTGTCCCTGGGGGTACAGAACTGTGACACAGCAGTGATCGGTCAGCACAGGGGGACTGACACCTCAGAACCATCTGGGGTCCAGGCAGGAGTGAGGGACTGGGGACTGCAGTCCGTTCTTTGGCTGGTTACCCTATGGACATTGTGCCCCAGGGCGGTATGTTTTCTGATTTTTATTTTTATTTTTAAGATTTTATTTATTTATTTGACAGAGGGAGAGATAGCGAGAGCAGGAACACAAGCAGGGGGAGTGGGAGTGGGAGAGGGAGAAGCAGGCTTCCTGCCAAGCAGGGAGCCCGATGTGGGACTCGATCCCAGGACCCTGGGATCATGACCTGAGCCGAAGGCAGACGCTTAACGACTGAGTCACCCAGGAGCCCTGTTTTCTGATTTTTAAAGAGAAGCTAAAAATCTGTATATTTATAAGAAACCTAACTATTGAGTGAAATCTGACACCATGAGCCGCTCAAAGTAGGTAGGAGCCTGGATGCCCCAATTCTTTTTTTTTTTTTTAATTTAACTTTTACTTATTAACATACAGTGCAGTATTGTTTTCAGGAGTAGAATTCAGTGATTCATCACTTCCATACAACACCAAGTGTTCATCTTAACAGGTTCCCTCCTTAATGCCCATCACCCATCTATCCCATCCCCCTCAACCTTCCCTCCATCAACCCTCAGTTTGTTCTCCATTGTTGTTGTTTTTTTTTTTTTAAGAAGAGGAGACCCCCTTCCTCTATTTTTTTTTTTTTTTAAGATTTTATTTATTTATTTGACAGAGAGAGAGACATAGCGAGAGAGGGAACACAAGCAGGGGCAGAGGGAGAGGGAGAAG